CTTCCAAGTAGCTGGAACTACAGGCGCGTGCTACCACACCCAGCTGATTTTTTGATTTATCGTAGAGATGAGGTCTCGCCAAGTGGCCCAGGCGGGTCTCGAACCTACAGGCTCAGGCAATCCAGTCACTTCAGCCTCCCAAAGCGCGGGATTACAGGCTGAGCCACCGAGCCCAGCTTGGCTGAATCTTTTCAATCCACAAACATTTTTATTAGGAGGGACCCCTCAAAAATGGAATTTATTGATTTAAAAACTGTATATTTATTCTTCCATGTTTAAACTTCAGTTACCTTCAAAGTACTCTCCGTTTGATGCAATATACCTGTCAAGACACTTTTTCCACTGCTCAGACAGTTTTTGAACTCATCAATTTTGATGTCTTTTAGTGCTACTGCCATTTCTTGTTTCACCTCTTCCGCATTGGCAAAACGTTTTCCTTTGAGGACTTTTTAAATCCAGGGAATCGAAAAAGTCACTTGGGGTGAGATTGGGGGAATAGGGAGGGTGAAGCATGGAGATCATGCTGTTTTGGGTTCAAAACTGCTGAACACTCAACTTGGTGTAGGCAGGTGCACTCATAAATCACCCATCATGAAATGGTCAAACATGTTGAAAGAATATAAAAGAAAAAAATTCACTGAAGCTGAACGCAACCTTTCCTAACAACGCTAGCTGGTACACTGATGCCAATGGTTTCCTAGCAGGGGAAATTAGCAGGGGCCTGTCCTTCAAAAGAAAATTCCAGTTTTTTTGAACCCTCCCCCCTCGTATCTTGAATATTTTCTATAGATTCGTGCTGTGCCAGGAGATGCAGAAATGAGTGAGACACAGCTTCAGCTCCCAAGGAGTACAGGCTTGGGGTCAGGAGCACTGACGGCATCTTTCTGCTCCTTTCTCAAAGCCCGTAGGAGTCACCTCGGAGGAGCTGAGCATGACCCGGGATGAGGCACTGCCGGACTCTCATTCTGCAAAGGGCTTCTATGAGAATTATGAGCCCAAGGAGATCCTGGGCAGGTAAGGCCCAGACTTTCCCCATGAAGTGTTGTCCTAGGCTCCAACAGGCTCTGCAGGTTGGAGTGATCTTTGCTTGATCCTGAGTTCTGATCCCATTTTCATCCCCAAAGCAGTATAGTGTCTGTCCACTTGGAGGTTCTTTTGATTTGGAGTCCTGCCGTCCTGAAGCCAGGACAGATAAGAGATCAGAGACACGGAAGCAGCAAAAAGTTCCCAGGTGCTGCTGACAAGCACATCCAAGCTAGTTTTGGGTTAGGGTCAGGGATCAGAGGAATGGCTATGCCCCTAAGAGTGTGCTGCATTTTTCTATATGCTGGGAAAGAGTGCTGAACTGGGTGTCAGGAGGCCTGAGAGAGACCAGGCTTGTTATTCATAAGCTCTGGGCAAATCGCCCTTCTGTGTGTTTATTTTTTTCAACTACCATCCCTAAAAGCTCATCAGGAGTTGGGAATAGAGTAAATCCCTAAACAAGGGCAGAACACCTCTGCTGCAGCCTGGATCAGGGAATCCCCCAGGGATGAGGGACCCCAAGGTCATCGGTCCTCTGCACCCCCAGGGGCGTTAGCAGTGTGGTCAGGCGCTGCATCCACAAGCCCACGTGCCAGGAGTACGCTGTGAAGATCATCGACGTCACCGGCGGAGGCAGCTTCAGCTCGGAGGAGGTACAGGAGCTGAGGGAAGCCACGCTGAAGGAGGTGGACATCCTACGCAAGGTGTCAGGACACCCCAACATCAGTGAGTGATGGCCCGGAGCTCCACCATGATTCCGCCCTAAGAGCCCAAGTCAGCATGGCCCCACCGAACGGCTAGCCACAACTATCCAGGTTCCCAGCTCCACCCTCACTGCTCGGATAGGACAGATCCCAGGCTGGGATGGGGATGGACCGGGTGGGGGGCTGGGAGTTTGAGGTCCCTAGGCCTGCCCAGCCCCTGGTTGGCTTCTTTTGAGCACCACCTGGATCCCTTCCCATCAGCGTTTGAAGTTAGCCCACCGCTAACTCAATCCCCTCCCCGCTGTGCCGGGGCTTCTCTGCCACCTGAGACGAGCTAGCCATTTCCATTTCAGTACAGCTGAAGGACACGTATGAGACCAACACTTTCTTCTTCTTGGTGTTTGACCTGTAAGTATCCTGCCCCGGAGCCAGCCCCCCTTAGGGCCTGCTGGAGAGCCAACCACTGTGTGTGGTCCTCATCCCAGTGCTTGCCTGGAGACCAGCAGCCAGCCCCTACACTGTGGATACTTTAGGCAGATTTTGAGCCTCTGGGGTCAGGCTGCTGGGTTTAGAAACCTGGGTCCACCACTCATGGGCTGGTTCATTTCTTTTAGTATCGGTCTTCTCATTGGGATTATGGGAATAATAATAGCACATCATCACGATGACAGTCATTCGCTACGATGGAGGGTCACTCAATATTTATTCTAGGCCTTGAGGATACAGCAATGAACAAGACAGACAAGGTCTCTGACTCATAGCTATGCATACACGGTAGACTTTATCTGCGGTTTCACTTTCCGTGACTCTGTTACTTGCCATCAACCAAGGTCTGAGTACAGATAAGTACAGGACAGTGAGATATTTTGAGAGAGAGAAAGGCTACATTCATAACACTTTTAATTTGTGATAAAGTGATTGTTTTACTTTATGGCTGTTCATCTCTTACTGGGCCTAATTTATACATTAAAGTTTATCATAGGTATGTGTGTAGAGGAAAAAACAGCTTGTATAGGGTTCACTACTGTCTGTGGTTTCAGATCTCGGAAGGCATCTTTCGTGGATAAGGGGGAATGGCTGTAGATATACCTAAAGCATCCAAGGGGCTAGAAACAGACACGGGGAGGTGACCTGAGTGGAGACCAGGATGCAGTGAGGGAGGCCTTAGAGCAGAGGCCTGGAGAAGGGGCCTGCAGCAAGAGAAAGAGGCCACGCCTGGGCCCTGCAGTTGGATGGGTTTGGCGCATTCCAAGATCAGCAAGGGAGCCAGGGTGCGGGAGTGGAGTGAGCTTGTGGAGGGCAGCAGGGTGCGAGGTCATTCCGTATCAAAGACCAGATTCTGCAGGCATTTTAGCCATGGGAAGGAGTTTGGAGGGCCGGAGGGAGGGTGTTGTGAGGCAAGGAGCAGACTGGAAACAATGACAAGGCGGCAGGAATGGAAAGAAGGCAGGTGAGAGGCAGGTGGAAGAAGGTTCCCCTGGGGTGTGGTCCACAGATTGAGATCATCAGCAGCAGGATCATCACCCCTCTGCTCTGCACCAACAGGGCTAGTGAGATGAGCTCCTTGTCGACAAGCATCCAGTGCAAACACCGCAAAGAGCTCTGTGAACTGTGCAATCAGGACTCATTCTCAGTTTTTTTTTTTTTTGAGTTGGAGTCTCACTCTGTCGCCCAGACTGGAGTGCAGGGGCCGCTCCCGGCCACTGCGGCCTCGACTTGCTGGGCTCCGGCGATCCTTCCGTCTCAGCCTTCCCAGTAGCCGGAATTACAGGCATGCGCCACCGCGCCCGGCTGATTTTTTGATTTATTGTGGAGATGAGGTCTCGCTGCCCAAGCGGGTCTCGAACTCGTGGGCTCAGGCAATCCGCTCACCTCAGCCTCCCAAAGGTGCGGGATGACAGGCTGAGCCACTGAGCCCGGCCATTCTCAGTTTTATTAGGAAAGGTGCCCAGGGAAGAGAGCGCTCCAGCTCTCTGTGCCCCCACCCCACTGAGTTCTCACAACAGGATGTAAATCTCTGCTGCCACATGACCATTGTCGTTGGGATGTCTTGATTTCTCCATACAGAACAGCCAATTTAGGGAGCGGGCTTACTTGGGAAAATCATTCAGGGAGATCTTGTATTGTTGGAACATTTCATATGGTAGGTACACTGAGTATGTGCAGTATTATCTGACGTCAAGACACAGTTTCACTTGGCACGTATGTACGGTTCAGTCATCAGCTCCAGGAGGGCAGAAGCCTGCTGGTGAACCTTGCACAGTCCCGTGTTCACTGGCACCGCTACTGCTAATAGTGAGTTCTAGTATCTCTTAAATGAATTAAAATGATGAAATACTAGATTCACACATTGCCTTTTAGAAACAGAGCAGGGCAACCCCTTCGGGTTCCCTCCCACTGTGGGAGCTTTTCTGTCCTCTCAATAAATCCTGCTTTCAGAAAAAAAAAAAAAAGAAAGAAAGAAACAGAACACAGATATTGTATAAAACAAGGCTCTCCTCTGTAAATTCTGGGTTGTCTTCTCAAATAGACCCACTCCTCATTCCACCAGCCAAGCCCAAGGGTCCTCATGCCTCTCTGCCCAAAAACCTTGTTCCTCCATTCGCCCTCCACCCTTTTGCCCTAGGAATCTCACTGCTTTCCCTGGAAGGGCAGGTGTGTGAGGGTTGGTTGGCCTTTTCCTATAACCAAGAGATACTTTCCTTGAACTCCTGGCCTCAAGCGATTCTCCCACTAAAGTGCTGGGATTACAGGTGTAAGCCACTGTGCCCAGCCCCTAAGGGAGATTTTCCTGGGACCCCTCTGTCTTACCCACCTGCAGCTGTCCCATCGCTGCTTAGGGGTACCGTCCTATTCAGCCCTTGAGTACAGCTCAAATGTCTTTAACCTTTGAAGAAGTTGCCTTGGGGAGGCTATTTTTAATGCTGCCCCGAAGAGTCCTCCAGTGTATAACTAGTTTGTTCTAGCAGACACCTCTTTCAAGATCATCCCAAGAGGTAAGATCGAACCGCGATTCTTAATCCTGTAACAGGCAAATGCTCTGCCAACATTTGCGCTGCCGACTATTTCCCTATGTTCTCTGGGAAAGATCAGGACACCGTGTCCTTCTGATCTGGGTCTGGGGCCCTAGGCCAGTGGCTCAGCCCCCAGCCCTGAAAGATTCCAGTCCATGATGTCACCTCCACAGAGGGGGGCACCCCCACACTGGTACCCCTCCCACCTCTCCAGCCCTGTTTGCTTTTCCCGGACAACTTCTCTACTCACTTCTCCAGGTCCTTCCCCCAGACCGTGGTCCTCTGTGGGGAGCAGCCCGCTTTGCTTCCTGAGGCAGTAGGGCAGAAGACAGCTCCCTGGGAGCAGAGTGATGGCAAAGTGGTCTTGGAACCACCAGCTACAAGCCCTTTGTTCCCACAGGATGAAGAGAGGGGAGCTCTTTGACTACCTCACTGAGAAGGTCACCCTGAGTGAGAAGGAAACCAGGTGAGGGTACATCTATCCCCCCTCACTCTCTTCCCGAAGTCCTAGTGCCACAGGCACCGAGGTCTCGGAGGAGGCGCAGCGTGCACTTGTCCGGGCTGGGCGTGTGCCACTGGCTTTCATGGCCTTCCTCAGTCCTGGGCTCGGTTTGGCTGGTCTGCCGGTCTTGAGTCCTCCATCACCTGCAGTGTGTCTGGTAGGTGGGCTGTGGTGTCCCTGCCTGCTCCTCGACCCTGCGAACTAGAAGGCTGACTTGTGTCCGCTCTACCCTAGAAAGATCATGAGAGCCCTGCTGGAGGTGATCTGCAACTTGCACAAACTCAATATCGTGCATCGGGATCTGAAGCCTGAGAACATCCTCTTGGATGATGACATGAACATCAAGCTCACAGACTTTGGCTTTTCCTGCCAGCTGGAGCCAGGAAAGAAGCTGCGAGGTCTGGTAACGGGGCCTTGGACCATGTCAGGGGCTCGGGCTCTCTCGTGAGTTCTCCCAGGAACAGCGACTGCCTGGGTTTCTCCCCTAATTTCTCCCCAGAATAAAAGTCCTACCTTTCAGGGGCTAGGTGTCTCTTCAGGTAAGTCCTCTTCCCAGGACTGAGCCAAGCCAGCTCCCCACTGCCCCAGTTCCAGGCCAGGATGGCTAGAAGCGGCCAGAGAGCCGGTGGGCCCCAAGCTGGTGGCCCTGAGAGGCGGCATCCTGTCCCTTGACCTGGCACTGAAGTTGGCGGGTGTTAGAATTCCAGCCCGAGCACAATTTCCCTTCCACTTCTGTTGCGTCTTTGCACTTTCAAGTGCCCACTGCTCACCTGTCCTGATGGCCACTATTCCTGCAGAGGTCTGTGGGACCCCCAGTTATCTGGCCCCTGAGATCATCGAATGCTCCATGAACGATGACCATCCAGGCTATGGGAAGGAGGTGGACATGTGAGTGTTTTGGGGGCCCGGGGGAGGAGTGACCCCCCATGGCAGGAGCACTAGGCCGGGCAGGGGAGGAGCCAGCAGGCGCTCCAGCGACGATGCCTCCTGTGCTCCGGCCCCGCACGAGCCGGGGGTGGTCAGCGGCCCTTGCGTGCCGCAGGTGGAGCACGGGGGTCATCATGTACACCCTGCTGGCCGGCTCCCCGCCCTTCTGGCACCGGAAGCAGGTGCTGATGCTGCGGATGATCACGAGTGGCAACTACCAGTTCGGCTCGCCCGAGTGGGACGACTACTCGGACACCGTGAAGGACCTGGTGAGAGGCCAGGCCTACTGGCTCCGGGGCTCAGGCGAGGGGAGAGGTCCGTGATGGGGGGGCACACCGCGCCGCAGGCGGAGGGGCCGGCTGGAGGAGACCCCGTGTCTTCTGAAATGCCGGAGGGGTCCCGCCTTGACGGCCTCGCTTGCGCTCTCCTGTGCTCAGGTCTCTCGCTTCTTGGTGGTGCACCCCCAGAAACGCTACACGGCAGAGGAAGCCTTGGCACATCCCTTCTTCCAGCAGTACGTGGTGGAGGAAGTGCGTCACTTCAGCCCCCGGGGCAAGTTCAAGGTACTCGAGCTTCCCTTGACCAGGACCCCGCTGGCTGCTGACACCCGGGCCTCCAAGTGCCCTTCGTGCCCCAGGAATCCTTACGGCCCCAGGGTTCCCAGGTCACTTGCCCGCTCTCGCCCCGCGCCGTGATGGTTCCAGCTCAACTTCTGGCTTCAGAAGAGCGGACGTCAGCCGACGGGCGCCTCTGCACAATCTCTGCGATTGCTGGCGGGGTGGGAAGCGGGCCAAGCAGCGCCAGCAGGGCCCGGCAGAAGCCACTTCGGCCTTCACGCCCGCAAGCCCAGGGCCTCCCTGAGCCGGACGCCAGGGGCCCGCAGGGGTGGGGCTGCCCGCTCAGGCCCTCTGTCCTGGCCCTCTGCAGGTGATCGCCCTGACAGTGCTAGCTTCAGTGCGGATCTACTACCAGTACCGCCGGCTGAAGCCAGTGACCAGGGAGATCGTCATCCGTGACCCTTATGCCCTCCGGCCTCTGCGCCGACTCATCGATGCCTACGCCTTCCGAATCTATGGGCACTGGGTGAAGAAGGGGCAGCAGCAGAACCGGGCTGCCCTCTTCGAGAACACACCCAAGGCTGTGCTGCTCTCTCTGGCTGAGGAGGACTGCTGAGGGGCTGGCGGGTGGGGAAGGCTTGGGGGGCAGGTGGGGAGGGGAAGCCACGGAAATGCAAGTCAAGGGGTGAGATCGTGTGGGCCTCGGTGCCGGAAGAGCCCTTGGCCCTGGCCAGGAAGCCCTGGAACGAGGCTATGCGCCCTCTCAAAGGCTCTGTGCAAGAGGAGCTGGGTGTCCCCACCACACAGTAATAAATGCAGGCGGCGAGGCCCCGGTGGTGGGGAGGGAGGCTGGTGTGGTCCGAGAGGCAGGAGCCCTCCTGCTGCTCCACTCCCCAGTCGTGCTACCATCTCAGTCCCTCTTTACGGGAGGCCCAGAGTTGTGCACTCAGGCCTTCTTCCCTTAGGGTCCCAGGGCGAGGATGAAAGATAGGAATGTCTGAAATACACAACTGCCAGAGATTTTACTGACCTCATAACATCCAGTGATACCACAAGAGCAGGTTACTCTCCAGGGACACGTTTTTAGAGGAACATGGAAGCCCTTACATGATTAACAACAGAAGCAGCTTGTAATATTTGTCTTTCTGTAGTACGTACCTTGTGGCTTCCACAAATGCACAGCTTCACCTGGTAAACGATCTGGTTCTCCCACACCCTTTTAACACTGATGTTGTGCTTTAAAGAGGCCACATGACTGAATCTCACAGAGAGCAGAAATTAAGTTCCTTCTGAGGGGCCCGAAATACTACAAGAGGCAATTTGCTGGGAAAACAGAGAACCAGGGAAATTCTGCCTTGGAAATAAGGCCAGATTCCAGAATCAGAGAGAAAGGAGGAGGTGGCAGATTCTGCATATGCGGCCCCTATGTGGTTAATACCTGACCTCTAAGAGAAACACCCAGCTCCCAGCCACAGTGGATGAGTTGGGCTCCTTCTCCAAGAGACAGTGGCAGTCCTCCTCTGAGGGTGAGGCATCTCCTGCCCTGGTGAGAGGTGCCTGCCGCAGAGAGATGGAACGAGGGGGAAAAGTTCTTTCCTGAGGCTGAAGCTGACGGGTTTGGACTTGGGTTGTGCTTGGAATACGGCCAGAGAACGGCACAGATGCCACGGAGGACTTTTCTCCTTGTTTCTGCATGGCTGCTCACAGCTCCCCAGGTAGTCGGCCTGCACTGGAAGCACAGCGGAAGCCCAGGTTGTCTGAGGCTGAATCTGGAGTGTTGCCCATCCTGCCACCAGAGAAGGGGAGAGAGAACAGGCATTTCTTAGAAAGGGACCTGGGGACTTAGCAACTTCCCTGCCACCCCGCAGGGCCTGCTATGGTCTTGTGTGCCTGAGGCCTGGGGAGGGCATGGTCTGGAAAGAGGCCAGGTGTCAAGGCAGGTCCTGAGCATGTGCTACTCCCAGGGAACAGGAGACAAGAAGGGGCCTTGGACAGAGTAGGGAAGTGACACCAGCTCTAAGAGACTGCACTGGAGGGCAGAAAAAGACAGTGACTAATAACTTCTACTGTTTAGTTTAGAAAAATTCAGCTGAAAAAACCTGTCGGCAAGAAATAAGACTTTCTTAGTTCTCGTCAGCACTTTGACCTTTTCAAAGCACTTTCACAGATGTGCCTTCATCTGCCTTTTCCCAGCTGCTGGGTATGTTCACCGTTTTACAAACCCAGAATCAGACACTAGAAAGATGCTTCAGTGGTACAACATAATGCATGGCAGACCCAGTTTCCTAGTTCCCAGGCCAGAACTTTCTTCACTGCATTGTCCTGAAAAGGGAGGTGAGGGAAACCCAGGGGTTTCAGTGTGTCACAGAAATGGCTGCAACCTTAATATCCTGAGGCCACAGAAACAGCAGACTCTCTACAGTCTTCAAGGAACCCAGGAGTGGAAAGAGTGGCAGAGAAACCAATCAAATTAAATCTACATATGAATGAAGCAGAACAGTTCTAGAAGAGGACTCAGGAGACAGGGACTCTCCGGGGCCACCACTAGCCATCTATGTGAAATGAGCAGGTCCCACCCAGCACCTCCCTGAGCCTTTTCCTCTTGATTATAAAACAAAGTGATTATAAAAAATGGCTTGTGTGCCCACCAGTTTGAAGAGTTCAATAATTCCATGACCACCAGGAATGCCCTACTGACATGGTCATTCCACTTCGCCACACCCCGCTGCCCACTGGTTGTGAGGACTAGAGGAGAAACCCACATAATTAAGATGCCGAGCACAGTCTCCCATGGTGCCAAACTGGCAGAAAAAAGTCCCAAGTTGTCCAGGGGCATTTTGCTTTTCACGGCAAGCACCACTTGCTTTCTTTTCTGTACCCAAAACTCTTGGCGGAGGCGGGAGTGTAGTGGCAGCACCAGCACCAGCACCAGCTCTGGTGCCACCTCTGCTCCGGGAGCCCTGGATCCACACCCCTTGCCCCCAGGTTTTCAGTGGTGTGGTCCCTTAGACCAAGGCCTTCACCTGGTGGTAACCCGGGCCCGGTGATTGGCGGAGCCGTCAGCTGTGTCGATCCAGGATGCCCCCCGGAGAACACGCATGTCCTGGCCAGCAGCCTGGTATGGTGTTGCTGTCCACTCCCACACGTTGCCCAGGAAGTCATAGAGCCCTGCAGCAAAGCCAGCAGGTCAGTCCCAGGCTGGAAAGCACCACACCACCCCTTCTACCCACCCCAAGTCCCAGGGAACAAATTGGGGCCGGGAGAGGTGCTTTTCTCTGTCTCACCTATCAGGCAGAATGATCCCACCAACCAATCTGTGAGCGTTGACAGCAACTTGATGAGAAATCTTACCGTAGTTATTCTGTGGGGGAAAGGCATTCACTGGGGAGACTCCATGGAAGCCGTCCTCAGCTTTGTCACCCTTAGGGAACTTTCCCTGAGGGGAGAAAGGAAGGCTAAAGGATTTACCATCCCCTGTCCCAAGACAGGTGTTCCTGCCTAACCAGAGGAAAACCAAGGTCATCTTGCTCTATCCCTGGGGTAGGGGGAAGGCATGGCCGTGACCTAAGACTCTTATCCTGAGCTCCAACACCAGTCACACCTCACGTCTCCGCCATGACCGCCCGGCTGGATTAGGAAGAGTGTGTTTCCTCTGTCCCCATGGTGGTCCAGGACAAGTCTACCCCACTTCCGCTTTCTCCACTCCCTCCTTTCTGTCTCGAACCCCACATGCCATGGTGCCTCAGGAAGAGGTTCTCCTGGTCGCCTCTGAGCCCTGTTACTCCTGCCCACTCCTGCCTCCTGAGGCCTGTGGTGTCTCTTTCCCTCAACCACCAACAGACTTAACTCCTTCTCATTCGCCAGGCCTGACCCCACCTTCCCTACCTCCTGCTCTTTACCACCAAAATTCTTGAAAAAGTAACCTATATTTGCTAATGCATTTTGTTTCTCCTCATTAAAATTGAGGTTCAGCTGTTGCCACTCTATGGCAGCTGCTCCTACAAAAAGGAAAATGAAGGGGTGATAATTTACTCAACACTACTATGTGCTAGGTCTGCTTCACTTGTTTCTTTTAATTTAATCTTCACAGGCCAGGCGTGGTGGCTCACGCCTGTAATCCCAGCTATTTGGGAGGCAGAGGCAAGAGGATTGCTTGAGCCCAGAAGTTCGAGACCAGCGTAGGCAACAAAATGAGACCTTGTCTCTACAAAATATCAAAAAAAAATTAGCCAGGTGTGGTGGTGCGTACCTGTAGTCCCAGCTACTTGGGAGGCTAAGGTGGGAGGATCGCCTGAATCCAAGAGATCAAGGCTACACTGAGCCATGATCTGTGCCACTGCAATTCAGCCTGGGTGACAGAGTGAGACCCCGACTCAAAAAAAAAAAAAAAATGTAATCTTCTCAACCTTATGAGGCAGGTATTGCCTCCATTTAAAAATCCAGCAACTGAGGCTCAAAACAGTTGTTTAAGTTACCAAAGACCAACCAGTGCATAAGTAAGATCTATCTTTCTACAAAGCTCTGATTTTAAGCTAAGGTAATCTAAAAGGTCAGTCTAACCATCAGGCCCTTTTCTTTCTTTTTTTTGAGTTGGAATCTCACTCTGTCGCCCAGACTGGAGTGCAGTGGCCACTCCCGGCCACCGCAGACCCGATCTGCTGGGCTCCGGCGATCCTTCGCCTCAGCCTTCCGAGT